AACTATTTCTAATTATATTAAATTTGTGTTTTACTAACCATTATATATACAACTAGGCAAATGTCCGCACGTTGCGCAAAAACACCTATATAGTTGAAATCTTTACAAATATATGTTTTCTTAAATATAACAATAACGTTGTTGTTAAATTTGATATAATAATTCGCATACTAAATTGATATAATATATTGATTATTTTGAATAATAATATATACATCTATTATAACTGCATAATCTCAACCGTTTGAATGACTTCTACCCACGAGTTACTCATGAATAAAATTAAATATAATATATGGTTTAATGTTATTTATAGTTGTTGTTATTGTTAATTAATTTTTTGAAATTTATTTGTTTAACGTTTTAATTTCTATCATTATAATTATTTAAAACATCAAACATTGTTTTTTGATTTTAAATGTAACAATATAATCATTTATATAGAGTTATATTTAACTATTGTTATTGTAAGTTACTTTAAGCTGCTTATTTGAAAACGTTTAACGATTATACAAATACATTTAGGAAATATTTTAGTTAAATTGAGATTATAATTCATTTTGTGCATTTAGCACTACAATTTATCACTGTTAACTATTCACAAAATATTCATTGAGTTTTTTAAGTGGAACTGAAATTTATATTTAGGTTGACACTGTAATGTTATATTCGAAATTAACAATTTAAATATATTGTCCAAAATGATCAAAAGGTGTAGCCTTAAATTGATATTGATTTACGTACAACAACATCTTAATCTAATAAATTAAGTATAATCTGTTAAAAATTAAATACATAACTTTATAAGTAGAAGTAAAGATGTTATTTTAATATTGAAATTTAGTTTATTTATGATTACACTTTAGGTTTGATATTTATTTAACCTTATTAACCAACTTATAATAATTATTAGAAAGACACTACAATTTATTAGTTTTAACTATTTACAAAATATTATTTGGTTATTTAAGTTAAACTAAAATTTATATTTAAGTTGATCCTATAATGTTATATTTAAATTTATAATGTAAGTATTTTATACAAATTTTTCAAAATTTGTAGCTTTAAAATGATAATGGTTTACACCCAACAATATATTAAAACTAATAAATTAAGTATAATATGTTAAAAGTTAAAAAACATAACTTTATAAGTAAAAGTAAAGATATTCCTTTAATATTGAAATTTAGTTTGTATATGATTACACTTTATGTTTGATATTTATTTAATCTTATTAACCAACTTATAACCATTATTAGGAAGAAACTGAAAAGTCATGGGAGTTTCAAATGAATGTTGTGAAAGGAAAATGCATGAGTTTCAAATGAATGTGGTGAAAAGAAAATGCATGGGAGTTTCAAATGAATGTGGTGAAAAAAAAATGCTAGTTTTATAAGATATATAGATAAATATAGATATAGATAGACAGATATAGATATAGATTTATTTATATTTCCCTTGTCATTAGTGTAATATGTCTCTTTCACGAAATTTCCACTGCATTTCGGGTAATCATCGGTTTAGGTCCCTGTATTTTGCTACGTTACTTCTGCGAACAGTATAGCATGCCTTTTTCACCAAATTGCCACTGTACTATGGGTAATCATCGGTTTTGGTCACTGTATTTTGGTATCTCATAACCTAACCAAATAATAACAAAATTTTACATTTACAAAAAACACACAAAAGCAAACGATAATCAATAAATAAATTACATTTCTATCTTTGGAAACAAAAATATAGATTTACATCAAGATCCACATAACCAACACAATTTAATCACATCACAGTAATTAATAAACATCATAATCGTATACTACAAAATGGTTAATATTTTAACCATAAACCCAATATTACATCCATAAAAATCATAGCGAACGAATCAACGCAATATTTAATAAATCACACTATAAAGATTTAAATCTCATAATAATCAACATATTAAAAAATATTTTTGGATATACAAATAATTTAGTAATAAAAAACCCAACATTACAACACAATTTAATTACATTTCTCAAAACAACAACACGCTTAAATCGTTAATCACTATATATTTACATTGATAAAGGATAACATAAATTTACTTTACAATATCTACAATTTAAAGACTTCATGAAAAAAAAACAAAAAACAAAAAAAAATGTTAACAAGATAACAATTCATCCACCTATTATTTGTCCAACAATATTACTCCAACTCTCTTTCTAACCAATACAATTTAATTATAGTAATTCATAAGCATCATACCTATACTACATACAGTTAATACTTTAACCAAGAGAAAGTAAGGGGGTGTTTGATGCTTGTCTGTCTGGGTCCAATCAGTCGTTTTTCTGGACTCGGTCCGGATCAACTGGAACAGCTTGT